AGTGCGTAGGTGACACCTACGAAGAGGAGAGGTGGCCGGGATTCTATTGGCCACGTGTACTCATGGATTTTGAACTCAACAATATGTAAAGTATAATTTAGAAAATATGGTATGTAAAGTGAAAATACACCATAACATAATGAGTATTTTGTGAATTCTCCTTCTTTTAAATGAGAAATAGTATATAGCATGATTATCCATCAAACTAAAGTATGACTGCATGAACGAAAAATTAAAAAAAAAAATGTCAGAGTAGAAAATCTATAAATCTTATCCTAATCAGGATTGAATTGAAAATGTAAAACAAAATGTGTGGACACTCTATACAAATTATCATTTTGATTATTTTAAAATAAGGGCTCATTAGGTTTGTTTCGTTAGTATCGAATTTCAATCATCTGATATGAAAACTAATTGATTTTCAATGAGAGCAAGCTAAACCTTCTTTAACATTCGAGCGCATCATTTGAGGATTGATTTTCAATGAGAGCAAGCTAAACCTTCTTTAACATTCGAGCGCATCATTTGAGGGACCCAACCCATGGACTTAAGATCGTTACTCCCCTACAATCTCTCTCTCTCAAAATGATGCTCTCATGTCTCGAATTCATTATCTTAACTCTAATACTACTTTTTACGATTCAGTTTCAACCATCTCATCTGAAAGTCAATTTGTAACAAGTAAGGACATGCTAAACATTTTTTGATATTAACACCATCATTTGAATGACTTAATCTATGAATTTAAATCTACGTTGTTTCTCTCCAGCATCTGTTCCCAGTCTTGGATTACAACAAAATATAATTTAGGACTCCTGAGAGTGTTGAAATAAATATCGAAAGTCCTAAGGACATACAAAAATAGATTTAGACTTGAATAAGGATTTCTAGTTGCCTTGCTAAACACTTGTGTATGGTTTCAATTAACTTCAATGAATTTAAGTTTTTCTTTTCGTATCTTCATCCTTTTATTTAGAATGTAATCAATGAGAAAATTCAATGCAATGACCTTTTTTTCTTCAATTTTTAATTATGAGAAATAGTTTTTTATTGAGAGTTGATATTGTGCAAGGGATGAAAAATAAAAATTTTTGCTAGTAGCAACTCCTCTAATCCATTGGAAATGTTTGGTTGCACTACCATCAAGTTTTAATTATGAAATTCTAAATACAACTTGGCGTGAATGATGTAGTCAACAAATTTCGGCTCCACTCTCATCCACGTGATATATCTTCTACACACTTGAATAAATCGTTAGAAGTACGCTGCTTCCTTCGGAGGTGGAAGAGGCGGTCGCAAACACTCCGACAGTCAAATCATTCAATTTGTATATGTGTATTTGAATAAGGGATGGATGGAACACGTGAGTCACGTTAGTGTACGAGCATTAGGTTTAATAAGAGAACTAAAGTGATAGCAATATTACTATTGGGGAGGTGTAAAATTGTATTATTTTCAAATAACACTAAGTATGAACTTTTATAGTAGAAAAGAAAGAGTGATTATTCTTGGATGAAAAGACACCTTAACCTCATCCTAGGTTTAGTGGTATTTAACGTTTTTGAAAAATAGACTGTGAAGCGTTTGTTTCAGAGACGTCATATCAATCAATCATATAAATATCTTGTATGGAGTGATTTTTGGAATAGGTGAAGTGGGAGATGTATTCTCTCATTAAGAGGCTAATTGCCTCAAATACACTCTGTAGCACTTTATGGTACCTCGCCTAGGATATGGAGGGTCGACCTCTACTCGTACTTCAGCTGATATGATACATTACTTTGGCTACCTTCATTATGACCTTGACTATGTTAGATATAGTGATGTGGAGTGTGAGCCTAATGAGAGTCCTGGTTGACTGTTATGTGGTTGTTATTTGGAGCGTCGTCTGACGACATGTAACACAATATTTATTCTCACCAACTTGTAGTGACCAATTTATGTACACCCTTTCCAACGTGATGGACAATTGAGGTAGAAAGAAACTAGGAATGCTATAAAAATGAGATGCGAATAATTTTATTCACTACATTTTTAATGGGGATTAAAATCAAGATTTTAATTTACGTCAAAGTCAACAATTAATTTTAACTACAATTTCATGGGATCCACAACTTTTTATTCACCAATTCACCAATTTTTATCAAAATTTATTAAAAATTTGATTTTAATCATACTCAAACAAGGGCGTATGTTATTTTAATTTGACATTTTTTTTATTACAAGAAAGCAACTTCAATTTTGTTATAGTTGTATAAAATCATTATCTTGTTATTATTATTATAAAATATATATTTTAAATTAATTAAATAGGATCCAATTACCTTTAAATAATTGGTTTGGCTATAAATATATTTTCCAAAGCATACACATGGTTTTCTCACAAATAAATAATGTAAGGTAAAATTACTGGTACTTAGCTTCAGTCTTGATCACTTGGACGGTGCAATATCGTTTCTTAATTTGGATTTTGTTATTGTTGGTCGATTGGCATGTGAGAGGAAGGAATAGAGTGCGAAGGGCATGTGCATAGGGGAGTATGCACGTGGACTCTGATTGTTTTCGGCCGTCGAGTCCGCAGCAGGACACGGTAGCTGCCTTTTTATGCTTTTTGATTGGAATTTAATGCTCAAGTTGACAAATTAAATTAATTATTAAGAAATTACCAATAATCACATAAAGTAATTCTTTTCTCTAACCAATCAAGGAGAAGTAAAAGGAGTGTACTAGTTATTTCATATAATAAATGTGTGAGTCGAGGTAGTTGAACACTAATAAATTGGCTTCTTCTCTCTCTGAATCCCTTTAATGAGGCTGAATTTTTACAATTTTTCTAGTAAACTGTTAATTCTTTTTTTTATTTCGTTATTTCAAAAAAAAAAGTATTGATTATTTTGAATACATTAATTCATATTATATTAATTCAATAATTGCTTTAGTTGAGAGATTTTATTTAAAAAAGAGAGATTGGAACCGACTTAAATTTAGTTCTTTAACTAACAAACAACAAGAACCAATGAGACCATAAATGAGTTTAATTCTTTGGTTCGATTCAAGTCAAACAATGCCTAAATGCTGAACGCAACCACGCCAGAACAAGTTTTTATTTTTTATTTTTTTGCAGATGAAACAACTTTCCAGAATGGTCATGGACCAAACCTACTTCTCATTTATTATATTTTTCCTCAACCATGACTTAGTGCTCCTTTGGCTGGGTTTATTGAAAAATTGAAATTGCTCTTGAACATGTTAGAATTATTTTTTGAAAGTCTTTTATCTGATTGGAAGAATCTTTAGACAAAGTTGATCAATGTACATTCTTCATTAACTTAGATATTAAAATTTGAAGTTTCATCTTAAAAGTCAATCTTATTAAGAGGAGTATGTCAAAACCTTATAAATTTGTTTATGTTTTCATCTTTATTTGATATGGGATTTTATCCCTTAACATGTTTCGCAAGATAGTGGCTCATTTGAACAGATGAATCCTGAAATTCATGTACTCGTTTTTTAGTGTTAATTAGATTGGATTGCTTGTTAAAACTTAATGAGGTCTGATACCATATTAAGATTTAGAGTTCCATCTCTTATTAAGAGAAGCAACCAAGCCTTATAAATTGAGCTATGTTTTCATCTTTATTCGATGTGAGAATTTATATTATAACATTACACATATTTTGCGACTATCCATGACTCGTACAGAACCATCATGCATAGAGGTGTTGTATGAAAACGAAGTAGTTATATTTGATTAACAAGAATGAAGAGAAGAAACCACCTACTTCTAGTATCTCACCGTCTAACAATTGAATACTCACCATCACATTAACAATTTCAAAATAAAATGTTTTTTGATGGAATGTGGATAGAGCGGCGGTGCTTGTGGATCAAGGATCGAAGTTTAAAGATGAATTATTCGAAGTTAAAATCTGAGTAATGTTGGTTTAATTTCTTAGTGCAAAAATCGTTAGTTTGATGGATTTTATATTTGATTATGTGGCTTGAATAGTTTTAGGATCTCGATCCATTTCATTACATTATATGTTTGCATCGTAAGGTATAAGATTAAAGATCAAACTGGTACACTATCCATATTTTCAAATTTTGACCTCTACTTTCCTCACTTCAAAGTGCGTACTTCGAGTTTCCTAGATAAAACTAGTGGAGTTTAAAAGCTTGACGAGATTATGTCCGTGAAACTTGGAATCATGCCAATTGGCGGACTATAGAATTAGCTATACTTGTTTTTTTGATTTGCAACATTGTCACTCGATTTGATGTTTTATTTTGAGTGAAATTGCACTTTCCACCATATATATTTTGTTTTGATACTCAGGTATTCACATTCGGCGACTAATCTTGTGGTCTACGCTTTGACCGTTCAAGACGCAGATCAGGCAAACTGTGGGATGTGCTCCAAACTGGCCACCGTCCAAGAGCCTCTTCCACTGATCTGCCAAAATGACAAGCGAATCAACACATGTTGCACCTTGCCTTCCATAAGAACTCCTGCCTTTCAGGAGAAAGCATGCCTTCCAAGAGCCCTACGAATTGAACTCGCGATCTCTGAACTGTCAGCAATTAAAAGTTTCATCCTTTGTCAGTTGGGATGTGCCCCGGGGGCCCACTTTCCACCATTTTTCACAATATACTCGTGTTGCACCTTACTACCAACACCACTGATATACAATCCTTTTTATTTAATATAAAAATGAATTTATTGAAATTGTATTTCGTTGTCAATAATAATAATAATAATATCTTGGGTCCATTCCTTAAAAAAAAATCATCGTGCATTAGGCTCTGGGTATTAACTATATAATAATTAATATATTTTCTTAAACTTACCCATAAATAAATTAATGCAGAGCAATGTATAATGTAACACTGAGCTAGATTTCTCTCTACTTTCTTCAATTCTACTCATTTTTCAGATCTTGAGGTAAAACTGATTATTTTTCCTTCTTGTTTTCCTTTCCTTTCCTTTCCTCTAGAAGGAAATGGCAGAAGCAAATCCATCCAAAATGCTAACTGGAAATCAAGATTTTACTCCCAAATTCCTCCAAATAAAGCAGGATAACAATTTTTACTTTAAGCTCTTGTCAAAGGACGCGGCCGGGGATTCATCTTTCAGAATGTCGTACTACGACGGCGCTGCCGGTTCTGTTCCATTCTCCTGGGAGTCTCAGCCGGGCACCCCGAAACACACGTTTTCAGACAGCCCTCTGCCGCCACTCACGCCACCACCTTATAAATTCAGCCCTAATAATTCCATGCCGAAGAAGAATCCAAAGAACTCGAAAATCTTTTATTCCATTATTCCACGAGTTTCATCCAAGAAAATTAACATTTCGCCATCATTTTCATCTTCTTCATCGCGCTCTTCATCCTCGAATTCAGCCACTTCCACTCCGATGAATTGGCCATCAAACACTCCAAAGTATTCGGATAGTTCAACGTCAGCTATCCATTTCGGGCTATATGAAGGACAAGAATCCAATTCTCCAACATCAATATTGTGCTTTGGTGATAGAAATGGAAGTTCCGGCAAGGTTAAAAGGCAGTACAACCCCATGAAGAGGGTGAAGAGGGCGTTCTTGTCCATTGTTGGCCAAGCTAATTAGAGATAATTATATGTTGTGTTCATCTTGTTCGTTTTCTATATCATAAATCAAAGAAAGAAATTGAGTTGAATCAAGGTAAATTTGAACTCCAAGTGAATGAAATCCGTTCCTGTTTTAACTATTTGTTTAATTTTACTTTTTAGAGCTTCTTCCGGATAACTTAGAAAATTGTTAAACATTTAGCCCCTATTTTGTGGGATTTAAATTTAAATTTTTAGTATATTTTGATAAAATTTGTGGTTGTAAAGTTATGGGTTTGATAAAATATATGGTTATACTCCCCTTGTCCTAATTATGTCCTAATTATATAGGCTGATTTTATTTTTCACACGGATTAAAAAATTTTATTTAATGTTATTGAGAAAACAATTTTAATTTGCTAAAAACTTTCATAGTTTATCCTTGTTTAATTGTCAACAACTAGTAGTAAATTGTGGAAAAATTAGTTATAACTAGGCAAATTAAATAAGAGTATATTAGTAAACTAATAAAACAAAACATTCTCAATAAAAAGACATGACTATATAATTGAGACAAGGAAATAAGGAAAATCAGCCTATATAAATGAGACGAATGGAGTAATTAACTGTTGACTTTGACTTAGATTGAAACTTAGATTTTAATCAATACCAAAAAGGGGCTAATCTGATCCACGGTGAAATTATGAGGTTTAACCCAAATTATACTTAGAGAGAGGGGGTGAATATGTGATTATGCGGAATTAAAAATTAATAATTAACTAGCAACAATACACTATTAATTATCTCTAAATGGTTAATCAATTAAGTCAATTTTTCTAAATTGAATTGCCGCAGTTATATGAATACAATCAATAAACAACCAGAATGATCACGAAAAAACCCCAATTTGGTAAAAACTCCAGGCACTTTGCCGTCAACAATCCACTATAAACGAATTATGAACTTACAATCCGCTAGACAAGACTACCACTATTACTTTATGACCTCCGGCTGCAATTCTCACAGCCCTCCTGGATAGCGTGTTCATGCACTAACTCCTAACTGTAGTTTTTGAAACCCTCCTGATTTGTGTCCTACACTAACTCTCGACTTTATTATTTCATCTATCTCATGTGGATCAACGAAGAACTCCGCGTTCTCCAACAACTGAAACTCTATTCACCTTTCCTTGATCTTTAGAACTCTGACAAATGTGTAGGAAATAGCAATTTGGTACTTGAATTATAGGTTTGATGTTTATAATGCCAAGAACAAATCAAAACATGAAAGATGAAATCTTTTATGATGAAGAATATATGAAGCAGTAAGTATTTTCTCAATCATCAACCTTAAGAAAAATTGTTCAGAGGCTTTCTGGTATTTATACTGTAGGTTTAGTGGGTGTCGCAAACACCCAAAAGTAATATATTAACCTCTAAAACTAATGTAGTAGTGGAAATAAGGGTCGTTCCCACGAATAGTATGTAATTCAATATTTTATGCTTCGTACAATGATTGGGGAGTTTTTTGTGTGTAAACAATTGTAAATAATGCAACTAATAACAATGAAAATTAAATTAACGAAAACAATCAAAAGATTAACCTTGGTCCAAGTCAATATCCACTTTCGGAACTTTACAATTGATCATTGATGCAAGTATAAAAGAACCCATATTTTGAATATTCATCGTTGAAATTATTTTCCTATCTCTCCTTATAATTAATTAGAATACAAGCAACTGAATTAACCCTAATTATCAAACAACCTAAGACAAGCGTTCTAGATTTAATTTGATAATCGCATTACGAATTAGAAAGATAGATGAAGCTAAACAACACAAGTACAGGCGGTTACATTTAATTTAGTTGAACATTCTTCCTAAGATTCAACAATCACCAAAAAAACAAATTATCAAACCCTAGTTGCTTCACAAGTTAAATAAATTAAACAATTACGGATTTAATATTTAACTTAGCAGTAGATTGTAACGAATAACAACCTAGTAGGCCTCCTAACAATTAAACATAAAAATTATGGAAATAAGTGCAGAAGAATATTCAATGATTGAAAACATGAATTAAACTAAGAAAAATCATTTAGATCTCACAATATATGGTTCTGAGGTTCATCTCCTTCGACCAAGTGTAAAATTTAGTTACAATTCATGAATTTATGAGCAAAATAATGAATAATTAAGATGGGAGGGGTTTCTCTACGTTCTTCTCCCGTTCTAGGGTTTTAAAATATGTATTTATAGTTGTTTCCATAGGTAGTTGACTTAAATTCGGAAACCAGAATTTTCGTGTCAAGAATGAACTATGCGACCGCATATTAGGTCATATGGTCGCATAGAAAGATTGAAAACATGAATTAAACTAAGAAAAATCATTTAGATCTCACAATATGTGGTTCTGAGGCTCATCTCCTTCGACCAAGTGTAAAATTTAGTTACAATTCATGAATTTATGAGCAAAATAATGAATAATTAAGATGGGAGGGGTTTCTCTACGTTCTTCTCCCGTTCTAGGGTTTTAAAATATGCATTTATAGTTGCTTCCAGAGATAGTTGACTTAAATTCGGAAATCAGAATTGCCGTGTCGGGAATGAACTATGTGGCCGCATAATAGTAAGTCATACGGTCACATAGAATATTGAAACTGGGTTCTAAAAATCTCTGGAGGTGCTGATGGGACCGCAAGGAATATTAAACTATGCGACCGCGTAGTTTTGCCAATTTTCCACCCGATAGCATTTAGTATTTTGGTAATATATTTTTCTCCCAATATCCAATTGAGACGATTCAAGATGCATTGAAAATCTAACAAAGGGCTACAAATCGTCCAGAAATATAATATTTCCAATTAGAACGTTTATTATGCCAAAAATGGATCTCAAACTGAGACTGAAAATTTGAAGCATAACATTTTCGGCTAGGAGTTGATATGTGATAATACTTTGATTGTATTTCATCCTTTTTACTTTTTTTTTCATCCGATTGACCTCTAACACTTTCAAATCTCCGTCGTGAGGTTCCACGTAACTTTTGAGTATTTGTATTTTAGTCCCCAAACTTTGTTTTCTTTCATTTTGGTCATTGTTCGCTTATTTCTTCCAAATTACGACATATCCATAGAATTGCCACCTAAATCAAAATATAAATGTAATGAGTACATTTTGACATTAATTAATTATACGAGCACATAAAATAAGGAGGAAAAAATATGCATTTTACATTCTTATCTAATTCCCCCACACTTAGCTTTTGCTCATCCTCGGGTAAAACTCGAATTTAATTTCCCAAAAACACCCAAGTCGTAATGCCATTAATGTAGAAAAATCAAACTCTTTAAAACGCACAACAAATCATAAATAAACATTCTCACACAACTCATAATCAATTTGCTAATATTTTCATATGAAGATGGAATAAACAAAAACATGTAGACCCTCACGGATATAAGAGCTCAACTCTCATGTGTTTAAAAAATAAGTGTTTCGCTCAAGTTCATTCCAATGGAGATGATCTACCATATTCTTGCATATCTTGTCATTCACCACCTCTTAGATCACATACTTTATAAGAATTATAAGGACTTTTCAAGAGTTGTAACGTAGCTTAGGTTTAAGGTGGAAAATATTTGGGTATGTGACTCAAGAGCCATTGAACTAGTGGAGCAAAGATGAATAAGTTTAGCTCAAATATATTCATAAGATATGCAAAATCAACTACTCCACACAATTGTTCCTTTACTTTGCATCTATTCCACACAAATCGATCCATTTCTTGAAATGTAGGAGGAATTATGAATATAGATATTTTGTAACACTGACATCACTCTCCTCCATCACTTATTTTCTTTTTCTTCTATCATT